TGAAAGGTAGTTTACAATTTTACCGACTTTATTTCTGGTCTGTCCTTAACTTAACATCGTTTCTAATGTTTAAAGGTCAGAGAATGGAGTTTTCTATTTTTGTTATTGCAGGTTTGAGGTCTAAATGTAACATAAAATACTAGTATAAACGAGCGCGATAGTAAATCCATTGTCACCCTGGTGCCATTACACCACCTGTAAATAGTCCTACTGGCACGCATTCTTATACAGACAAACATTATTTCAAATCGATACACTGTACCTGTATGTTGTGCTGTTGATCAGTGTCCTAAGGTACGTATCGAAAAGTGTTTAGCAGGGACCGTGAAACGTCGTTAATCATGCAGAAAATTGTGTATTGTCCTAATACGTATCATCCCGTGACTTCTGCTTTTTTGGTCGGAATCTTCCAAGCCTAGGTAAATACCTTTCATTGATTCTTCAGTGAATTACATTATTATTTATGAATCTAATCAGGATTTGTTTAAGGATGACCTGCTGTTATATTAAGATTTTGATTTTCTAAAACCTTGACATTTGTAGTCTACAACTAAGACTACCTATCGACATGTCATTCCATGGGTCCCTAACTATGAAAAATTCATAATCTGTGAGAGGGTGAAATAAGAAAGGGTATGTAATGGCAGCAATAGTTGGCAGATATTGTATATTCTACAGCCATCAAGGGACTTTAAACTATGATATCTATATTAGTACGCGATTACAGAATATTAGATTATGAGAGTCTGGGGTAAAGGTTAAGGTTATATAGAGTGGTTTGTCGGATCCGGAAATTAATGTCTGATATCTTAGCATTGACATTGACATCGGTTACTATGGAGAAGGAAAAAAATGAACGACAGATTCAATCAAATGAGTATATAATTTGGTCTGGTACAATGTGAATTTAGATGTATTGCTTAGCGTGTTAAGAGCTCGTGTCCTCCACGAACTATTGTGGGGACGTTAGATATCAATTTATTACATATCTTGTATTACCTGTTACCTGTCGTCTGGGTTTTTTTAATCGACGCTTGTCTTTCTGGTTCATCACATTTGTGTTTTCTGGATCCAGTATTATTGTATGACATGACTAAAAGTTACAGCTTTCAGACCTAGAGTATCTGTTTTTCCTTCTAATTAAAGATCATAAAAAATCTTACTGCTTTTTGTGAGAGGGTTTCATGTGGACATTCTTAGTAAGATACAGGCTACTAATGTGGACATTCTTAGTAAAAATACAGGCGACTGATGTGGACATTCTTAGTAAAAATACAGGCGACTAATGTGGACATTCTTAGTAAAAATACAGGCGACTAAAGTGGACATTCTTAGTAAAAATACAGGCGACTGATGTGGACATTCTTAGTAAAAATACAGGCGACTAAAGTGGACATTCTTAGTAAAAATACAGGCGACTGATGTGGACATTCTTAGTAAAAATATAGGCGACTAAAGTGGACATTCTTAGTAAAAATACAGGCGACTAATGTGGACATTCTTAGTAAAAATACAGGCGACTAATGTGGACATTCTTAGTGAAAATACAGGCGACTAATGTGGACATTCTTAGTAAAAATACAGGCGACTAAAGTGGACATTCTTAGTAAAAATACAGGCGACTGATGTGGACATTCTTAGTAAAAATACAGGCGACTAAAGTGGACATTCTTAGTAAAAATACAGGCGACTGATGTGGACATTCTTAGTAAAAATATAGGCGACTAAAGTGGACATTCTTAGTAAAAATACAGGCGACTAATGTGGACATTCTTAGTAAAAATACAGGCGACTAATGTGGACATTCTTAGTAAAAATACAAGCGACTAATGTGGACATTCTTAGTAAAAATACAGGCGACTAATGTGGACATTTTTAGTAAAAAATACAGGCGACTAATGTGGACATTCTTAGTAAATTGCAGTTTTCTCTTGTGTCGTTTGTGTGTGACAGGTAAGCGAGTACCCTATTCTCTCTGGAACATTTCGCTCCTCATGCACCTCTGACGATTGTGAACATCACAACAATTCAGGTTTTCAAATTCCATTATGCCATATTCCAGTGCACACGACACGACAGACTAATATTCTCATTTGGCGTGCAAACGACCAGGAAAAATCTACCTTACTTTGTAGTAGGCTTACATGTAACGGCGGTTTTCCGTCCGTCACGCCCGAAGCTTCTATTTCGTTATACTTGCATGAAAGTATTGTCTGGAAATTCCACAGCGTTTGATTTATTGATTAACACATCAATAATGTATCGTCACATAAAGTCCTATAATTATTTTAGAATATAAAATACATAGCTTCACGTTACCTGACATACCATTATGTACGCATGGTTTCAAATATAGATCGCTTTCTTTCCCATGTCAATTTCACTAAGGAATGTATGAAACTGTAAAGTTTTTTTTATGTGGGGCAGTGGATAGTGTTAATATATTCCAACACTTAATTGACAAAGGACATCACAACTTTTATTATGTTCTAGCTGTGCTTTATTTGATAATTGCTCGGAGTGAGCTTTTCATATTCTTGATAATATAATTATAACGGAGTTACACGCTTTATGGTTAAAACAATATATCCTATTATTTTCATCAAAAAGGTAGGTTTTAAAAATTGAAACCGGAAAATAACCTTTTCACTGCAAACCATGCATTGTTGTCATGGTAATGGTGGTTGGTGATGTGAATGTTGTCATGGTAATGGTGGTGGGTGATGTAAATGTTGTCATGGTAATGGTGGTTGGTGATGTGAATGTTGTCACGGTACTGGTGGTGTGTGATGTAAATGTTGTCATGGTACTGGTGGTGGGTGATGTAAATGTCATAGTAATGGTGGTTGGTGATGTAAATGTTGTCATGGTAATGGTGGTTGGTGATGTGAATGTTGTCATGATAATGGTGGTTGGTGATGTGAATGTTGTCATGGTACTGGTGGTGGGTGATGTAAATGTCATGGTATTGGTGGTGGCTGATGTAAATGTCATGGTAATGGTGGTGTGTGATGTAAATGTTGTCATGGTACTGGTGGTGTGTGATGTGAATGTTGTCATGGTACTGTTGGTTGGTGATGTAAGTGTGGTAGGTATTGTCTGTTTTTGCATGCATGGTCTATTGATTATTGGATCATTGGTTTTTAAGATACATTTATGTTGCTAGTAGACGAATAATGAAACTATGAACTTCTTTCTTTTTCATGAGTGATGTTGAGTTTGGACGGAATATTTGAGATATATGACGCCAAGGTGTTTTTGATACGAATTATTTCTAACCGTCACAACCTTCAAGGACTGAAAAGATACGTGATCTTAGATGAACCTTTGGTTAAAGCGGAGAAGAAAACATCATTTTATTTCTAAATATAGATAGATGTCTAATACTATTCGGAATACAGATACCCGTGTTGATATTACGCTAGCGCGAGGTGGACACAAAAGTACACAATGAGGGTTAAGATTTGTTGTAACTGATAAAGTGTGGATTATCTAGGTTTTGATAAATAGATAAACATGTGTTAGTTTAATGGTGTTTCAGGATGCTACAATTTTGTTTGATGATATGACGTAACGTCATTGTCCATACCGTAAATCCGCCGGTAAGAAAAACTAGATATCAACAGTATGTCTGAATTATATAGGTTATCCATTAGAATGGCGTGAATTATAGACGCTCTTCTGGAATTGAATCTTTTTATCTCTTTTCAGACTGAGCTACATATCACGAGAGAGTCCGGCCACTGCCGTGCGGATGATGCAAATGAACACATCAGGAAAACGTAGTTCAAGTTAAACAGTCTTTCATCTTCTCTTAATTCTATTCTGGTCGTCTTTTAAATAAATAATCGCGCCTCCATCTCGTAACTATCAAAGGCAAGCGGTAGATATGTAAAAGTTTAATATGTCTGATAGTTCGGTTTCAAGACACGAATGAAGATGAAAGGATACGTTCAACTTTTAAAATAACAATAGACATTGAGAGGTGTATTTGACTTAAAGCTACTTCTTGGAGAATCGGGTCTGTACTGATTGCACTGGTCTCCAGCACAGGTATGTGGAGTTTTTCATCGATTGGTATAACACGGGAAGGCCGTGTCAGACATGGTAGGCTTAATCAGGCAGATGACTCGGCTCTAACTACCATAGAGTGGATTTGTTGATTGGCCTGACATAAACATACATACTGATGAATCTGCAATCAAGTTCATTTAACATTAAGTGTGAAGGGTTAATCACAGCCTGTTGCAGCGTGAATTCGTTTTCTAAAACTTAGAACATGATATAAGAGATTTTCGTTGTGATTAGCATAAATGTACATATTTAGAGATATACAGCGCGTGCATATTTCTTTCTGAACTAGTGTCCTGTTTGAGCCCAAAGATATTCATCATTCTACATCACAGACAATCGAACGCTATTACAATAACAATATAACTTACCAATAATAATTGACGGTCACGTGCTATTGACAGCTGTACATGTTGAAGTAATGGTCAGTCGATACCGACTCGCTAGGGAATCATTGCTGGCCACAACAGACTGTCTTGAAGTGGTTCATAGTGGACGCAGCGCTGGACACAGACCAAGGATTTAATTGTGTATGCGGATGAGTCCGATTCTTGAACTAGTGGAAGACTACAAATCTGATTCTTTGTACATTGTATTTGAAAGTGTGAGATAAACAAAATGCGCGAGATTGACTTTCGTGATTTTGTAGATTAATAATCTGAGCTTTGGATTACAATTATAACGGACGATATCGTATTGACCATTTGCTTATGGTCAGCTAGCTGCTTCATACCGTGTTTTATAACAATCATGTGATCATGGCTACAGGAATTCGCACGTTCTATCTAATGTTGACCTACAGCTTAAAAAAAGCTTCGATGACAACTTAAAAGTATGTCACTGCTTTGTGAAGAGAATCTGTTTTGGTGACACTTGGAGAAAAAAGTGCCCTAGCTACCTTATGATATCGTCACTTCCTGTTTGGTCTCATGTCAGGGTTTACGAGCAGACAGCATTCCCCAATGCCAGAATCCGAAGTTGATATGGATGTAGTTGTAGCCAAAATCATCTCGCTAGTGGTTCTCACTGTACTTACAGTGTTGTTCGGGCTATTTCCTTGTCGACTTATGCAATATTTCGCGAAAACAATCTTCAAACGAAAAAAGATTTTAGACTACATGCTTTCTTCTTTGAAATGTTTCTCAGGGGGAGTGTTTCTTGGAACGTGCTTTTTGCATTTGATTCCGGAAACACGAACTAAAATAGACCAAATGATGTCTCAAATTAGATCACATTCCACATATCCAGTTGCAGAGCTATTGACAATGGCGGGCTTTTTCGGTGTGATATTTACTGAGCACGCCATTCGGGCGCTGTATAAGAAACTCCAAGAAATGACTGACAGTGATCGAGAATGGACAGAGAGTGAAATTTTACCCACTACACATTCAACAATTTTAAAAAGTGACATTGAAGGTGAAATTGAATCTCGAAGTTTGCACTCAATTCAAAATCAAGATGTTGAATCAGGTTCTCACGAAATGAACATGATGAATGAGAGCGAAGAGACCAAAGAAATCATGGACATGGAAATTGAACCTGCTCCTCTTCAGGATTTAGAGGTCAAACAGGTAGTAACGGAATTAAGTCGTGGAGATGATTCAAGCAGAGGTCACATGAGGTCAGTACTTTTTATAACTGCCTTATCCTTTCACGGGGTGTTCGAAGGGATGGCCCTCGGACTTCAAAGTTTGGAGAGTAATGTGTGGGTGTTGTGCTTCGCTATAAGTATTCATAGGGGGATTCTAGCATTCGGAATAGGACTACAGCACATGCGCAATGATGAAAAACACAGTACAATGGTATTCAGTGTAGCGTCCTTTGCTATTTTGGCCGCTGTTGGAATTATCATCGGAATCGCGATTTCAACAGGAGCACAACTGTATACAGACGTTAACGTCCCGAACGCTATTCTACAAAGTCTAGCTACAGGCACACTATTCTATATCATATTTTTCGATATTCTTTTCAAGGAAATGGACGGAAACAAGGACGTAAAAAAGATGTCGTGTACCTTCGTGGGATTCGCTGTTATGGCTGTGATATTTGCTGTTACTAGAGAATGATAATGTGAGTGAATGGTATCATCTCTTGTCAAAAACTGTTCATTGTTATTGCCAGATCCTACTTACTTTAACCATTTCGTTTACCAGTTTCTAGTTTCGAATTTCATTGTTTATGTTATTACTTACATAGGAGTCATTTCTTGTTTACAAAATTGTTGTCATGGTTATAGGAGCTTCGAAACATTTGTGAGGAAAGCTTAATTTATTTGTAGATTTTTAATGCTTATAAAATATTTCGGAGAGATGGACATTAAGAGCCACGATGTCATTTTTAAATACTTTGTCATGATTGGCCTGCGGGCTTCAACAGGTAAGGCAAATTAAGATAAATAGGATTTTTTCAAATGTCAAAGTGGGGTTAGTATTATAAAATATGAAAAGACTTACCTAATTATTTACACCACAACATGATAACCATAATTTTTTAAATTGTCAAATACTAATGGAAAGAAGATTGGTGAAAAATTGTTATTTGTCAAAGATTTAACAATAAATGTGCTATTTCGTACATGATAGATTTCCTTGCAACTGAGTAGGAGTAAGATGTGATGTTTTAGCTCTTATTTGTCTCATTTTAAAAAAAGAATAATTTTGAAAATATTTTTCCTTTGAAAGCAATTAAGGTGATATTTATAATCCGATCAATGACATCATATCAGTCTCTTTTTCCTCATCTTGTCCTTATCAGTCGGATTCGAACTGTCGGCGTGTGTACTTTATTTTTTTAAAACTGAAATGTGTATCTGGCTTTGGTGATATCACTGTCTCGGTTATAAATATTCTGTTCTTGGCTGAGATGAATGCTGATTATTGACGACAAAGCATGTAACTTATTACGTGTCATTAGCATTGAATTAATATGATGTACCAACACTGACGTCATTGTATTGTTTTAAAGGTTTTCTGAAGAATGTCAAATCATTTAAGCAAAAATATTTCGAGAGATATCATTGAGAGCAATTTGGAATTTGTCTGCTTGAATTATCATAATCAGCTGAGCCGGAGATCACTGGAATTAAAATTCTGTATACTTAGTGTTAATTCCTGCCGTCATTTCATATTGCTTTAAAAAACGTTGGTCGCTTTCATGTCCGTGTGTCTTCCTCGTTTTATGTACAGATGTCACCATGACAACAAAGTATATTTAATAAAATAACTTTTAAACCAAGTCTCGCTCTTTCCTTTTCCTCAAATTAACATCACTTGGTTATAATGTGGTCCATCTATGTCAGGTTAAGAGGCTTTTAGCACGGATATCTGATTTAGAAGTCTTCAGCCGGAAAGTCCCTTCATTAAAGACCATTATGTTATTAGAAGATCCAGCGTGTTTTAATCAAAGGAACCTTCCAATGTAGGAGATGAAATAGCCATTATTTCAGTTATCATTTTCCGTGACACAAGGTAATCCAATAAGTTTCCCTCATATCGTTTGATACTTTGGGAAAATCTATAAGATTCATTGTAAATGTGAAGGTAAGTACCACCCGGCAGTAGAAGTATGTATTTCCATGATTCATTGTAAATGTGAAGGTAAATACGACCCGGCAGTAGAGGTGTGTATTTCATAATTCATTGTAAATGTGAAGGTAAATACGACCCGACAGTAGAGGTGTGTATTTCCGTAATTCATTGAAAATGTGAAGGTAAATACGACCCGGCAGTAGAGGTGTGTATTTCCGTATTTCATTGTAAATGTGAAGGTAAATACGACCCGGCAGTAGAGGTGTGTATTTCATAATTCATTATAAATGTGAAGGTAAGTACCACCCGCCAGTAGAGGTGTGTATTTCCGTAATTCATTGTAAATGTGAAGGTAAATACGACCCGACAGTAGAGGTGTGTATTTCCGTAATTCATTCAAAATGTGAAGGTACATACGACCCGGCAGTAGAGGTGTGTATTTCCGTAATTCATTGTAAATGTGAAGGTAAATACGACCCGACAGTAGAGGTGTGTATTTCCGTAATTCATTGAAAATGTGAAGGTAAATACGACCCGGCAGTAGAGGTGTGTATTTCATGATTCATTGTAAATGTGAAGGTAAATACGACCCGGCAGTAGAGGTGTGTATTTCTATGATACATTGTAAATGTGAAGGTAAGTACCACCCGGCAGTAGAGGTGTGTATTTCATAATTCATTGTAAATGTGAAGGTAAATACGACCCGGCAGTAGAGGTGTGTATTTCCATGATTCATTGTAAATGTGAAGGTAAATACGACCCGGCAGTAGAGGTGTGTATTTCATGATTCATTGTAAATGTGAAGGTAAGTACGACCCGGCAGTAGAGGTGTGTATTTCCATGATTCATTGTAAATGTGAAGGTAAATACGACCCGGCAGTAGAGGTGTGTATTTCCCTGATTCATTGTAAATGTGAAGGTAAGTACGACCCGGCAGTAGAGGTGTGTATTTCATAATTCATTGTAAATGTGAAGGTAAGTACGACCCGGCAGTAGAGGTGTGTATTTCATTGAAAAGGCTATTAAATCACACTTATCACTCTCAGCTTAAATGGCATTGTTCTTGAAGAGTACTTTAAAACGGCGACTAAACGTGGACAGTGTTTTTTTTCTTTACTTCTACTTAGACACCAGCTATTTCTAGAACACTTAATACGCCTCGGCATAAGATCAGTCGTGCTGCTAACTGGTGCCTGATTTGATAACTTATAATGTTACGTAAATTAACATGTATGAGTTTTTTTTTCATATGATGCCGTTTCTTTATCGTAATTATTCTTGTGGTTTGTAGTATTTTCAGGTGTGAATTTATAATTTGCTAATTACACAAGGTTTCTGCTCTATACCTCGCCAGTAGTAACTCGTTTCTGTGTACTTTCGCTTCTGATGAGATGAGCCTGTCGTCTCCTAAGATTTCGACCTATGGTCTATGTTTGCTACGAGGTTCCTAGAGTCAGAATAATTTGACAAGATGAGGTTTCATAGGCTCATATCCGTAATGTGATATCACAGCTCAGTAGCACTTTGGAAATGGCACTTGAGATTGGTCTCATAGACTCTGAAATTTCATCATAATGGGCGGTCCGCTTGAAGACGTATACATGATTTTCATTTCCGGGAAGGTCTTTACAGCATAATGACACTACCAATATAATAGAAGCTCCTATATAGTTGTAGATTTTTTACCGATAGGAATTTGAATATCGTTTGCTTCAAATGACGGGAAAATGTCCCTATACAATTGTCAAAGTTCTTGTTCCGGTAAAGAAATCGATACCAATATCCGGTGTGTTATATTTTGATAACTTCCGTTAACTATCTTAATAGGTCGAAGATCACGTTTGCTTGCCAACATTAATCGCGAAAATGTCATTTGAAATTAAAAGCTCGTGATTTTACATACAGAAAACGTCCAAAGCAATTATTGTATGTATCTGGGGTTGTGTTAATTTACTTCACGGAGTCAATTAAACTGAAAACACATTTCCTGGAAGCGTGCTATATTTCAGAATGGTGCCCATAACGTTCAGATGTTGACTAATTCGTCTTTTGCTCCAGAGACAAAATGAGATATTTAGGGATATTGTGAACAAAAGGATGTTTCGCACCTCTGACGTTCATGGACGATATGGTAGTGTTAGGTTATATCAGATGAAATGCTTCTTTCTACCTTGTTGTCCTGGTTTGTGTGATTGGACTTGCTATTTTGCTTAGTGGTAGATGGATGTTTTCGGTTAAAATTTTTTTTTTAATATTCGCATTCAATAAGACGTTAATTTTGAGATTTTCTATTTTACAAAGGAAAATAAGAGCTAAAGGTAACTTAAAACACATGTGTTCTCCTGACATGACATAAATGCTATTATTTCTTAAAATAAAAGAATTAAAACTTAATGAATTGAAATATAACTGAAATGTCTCTGCTGCCTCTACATGTTACCGTATTATTATTATCAGTGCACTGACTATTGAGGTACACCATCCAAGCATTATAAAGATAACCCAGGGAATACTCACAAATACACAAAACTGTAAACGCATACTATCGACTGGACACATGTAGTTTTAATTCATGCTTCTTTGTGCAGGACAATTACAGCACAAGAGTCCCCACGGAAGCCAGAATGGCGAGATAGGGACCTGACTAAGTGCTCCTTCACACAGCATATAGACTGGGGCCATTATACCGCCGTACAAGATGGAAAATCAATGTGTTATCCTGGCTTTCTTTACTACAGATATTGGCGAAGATAATATTTGTCCATCACAGCAAATTGAGCAATTTGAAATGCTGGCGGTTTAGAAAGAAACCCGTGTCTCGAGGTTATAGGATTGACCGCAATCACGGACCTATCGGGGAAATCCGGAATATCAATGTCGGAATCGGATTCGCAACTAAACAGGCATTGACAGAGTCATTAAGATACTTGAAAATCGATATTCTTTCCTTATGGTGGTGCAAATATACATTTACGTATATGCCAAGAAATCGAGTCCAAACCAGTGTTCATAATTTAATCAAGCATTTCTTAGACAAGTCAATGTATTTCGCAGTCACTACTAGGGTTTCCTTTCATCCCGCTGATTAAAAGTTCTCTGTGATGTCGTGTTGTGCTGATTATGTGCACAACATATCTTCTCCGGATCTCATTTGTAACATGGTCATTTTCTCGCATTTATCCATTATATTAGGATTTCCCATTCTTATCTTTGAAAGGCTTGAAATCAATACCTGTGCCTGTTAACAAACACTTTAATGACAGAGACTAACAGTGCAGACGAGAGGATAAGGTCGGATGTGGTTTATTATAGTGTGACTGTTTTTGGAAAAGCGATGTAAAACAAGCTGCTGTTTTAATAAACCAGTCTTCCGCTGATAAAATGTCAGTGATAAAATGGGATTCATTTGCGATTAAAAAGAAATTAAGCAGACTTGACTTAGGCACCATTGTTACTTTATTTGTCTGTAAACTGAATCTAAAGGCTTGACTTGTTCGTCTAGATTTCACTAACAAAACCTGCCATACTTATCATCAATA